TAACCGAAGGAGAATGAGAAAAGAAAAAAAATTGGTGAGCCAAAACTGTGGATCAGCAAGGAAAAATAAGGATTATTTGTATAAAATTTATCGAGTCTAAAAATACTGTTATACCTCGTCGTTACGGTAGGACGATTTATGAGTTTAAAAATTTTCATTGATACATTCGTTTCTAATTCTACCACCATTTATCACTATTAACCGATATCAAGAAAAAAAAAAAAAAAAGAAGGAAAAAAACTGTTCAGGTTTGTAATCTTTATGGAAGCAGAGAAAGTCACAGTCAAGAAAGAAAGAACAGCAAAAGTTTGCAGTAAAACAAAAAACAAACTAATAATTTTGTAGTAATAATAGTAAAAAAATTGCCAAAAAACTGCTATGTATTTTAAAATAATTGAAACAAAACCTTGTCTTCTTTTTTTTTTTTTTGCAAATACTTTGTTTTTATGTCTACACTATATATACGGGCGAATAATTCGTTCAACAAATATCCAAAAAATCAAGCCAATAAAGAATTAGTCATCATCAAAATTGACAACAAGCATCGGGAGATGAGAGGACAGATTGGACGGATGAAAAGGAGACGGGAACGGAGGAGGAGAGGAGGAGGGGGGAGGCGGTTTCGGTAAAATGAACGGTGTTAGAGCCGGGAGGGGGGTGGGGGGGGGGGCGGCTGAGAGCAGTTTTGTTGTATAAACGTTTGAGCAGAACAAATACTGTTTGTTGACATTTGTTGTAAATAGTAAATATATTTATCTGCTATTCTAATCATTTTTCAAAATATCAAAAACAAAAAAAATTCTTGTGTTTTAGCTCTTTTTTTTTTTCGTTTTTTTTCTTTGATTGTTGCAAAAAAATTGTTTCAATTTTTACAACATAATTTTTGTGCTGTTTTTCGGGCAAACAAACAAACTAAAAAATTACCAAAACAAATAAACGCTAACCGATATTAACTTTTAGTTGCGAATAAAATATTTAGAGGTTAATTAAAATTCTGTAGACAGCAAAAAACAAAAAGTTTAGCTTTTGATCATTTTCTGTTCTGTCTAGTCAATTAGCTGCCATTAGTCTTGAATAAATGACTATGACCAAGACTGATCTTGATAAATGTTTCACCGTCACAGCCAGCATCATCATCACCGTCGACAACGACAACAACGGTAGCTGTATCAGCGTTGATCAAGGAACGTATGAGTAAAAACAGAGTTCGTTAGAATATCAGTGCTGTATCAAAGTCATTGACTTTTTCCATCCATTCATCTTGCCATATCTTTTAGTAATTATTTTCTAGGCTAAATCTAATTTTCTACAATAGTTTATTAGCAAAAAAATTGGCATAAATTCTTCTGATTAAATCAATCGAATAAATGCAGCACAGTTTTTTTTTCCTTTTTCTGTTTTTTTCTCTTTTTTTTTTTTTTTTTTTT